GGATTAACTCCGTACAGCCGTGTGTGTGTGTGTGTGTGTGTGTGTGTGTGTGTGTGTGTGTGTGTGTGTGTGTGTTTAAAGCTACCCTACCCAAATGTTAAACACACAACTTACTGAGTAAAACTCTGAATTTCCTGTCCACATAGATGATGGCTTTCAACCTGTCATACATTTAAACCAAAAACACTGAATGAGTTTGATAAAAACAGTGGAAAGTGTTGTTCTCCTGAAAGGTCAATATCGTCTCTGCTCCCCAGCTGTTGTCAAAAAGCCTGACAGTGACAAACAGTGAGGAAAGAATCAACCAGAATGAGGTTTCCCTGCAGGGAGGCTCATGTCTGCCTTGTGGTGAAGAAGCTCGTTGATCAAGGAAGATTCTGCCATCAAGTCACTGTGCCACACTCGATACGGGTCTGCTGAAGTGTTGTGGCCCCCTGGGAAGAGGCCAACAGGTGCTACAGTCACTTTGACACTTAATCTGGACAAGAAGATGGGAACAAACATATTGGATTTTAGAAAAATGACGTAAAACTTCGGACAAATATTTTTCTAAGCTTTTCCGTGAACTGAAAAAAAATAAATAAAAAGAAGTTGTACTTTCTTCCAAAATGAGGTTAGTTTGTATTCTGATCTGTTTGCTTACAACGTAAAAAAAAATTGCTGGCTGACTTGTGTCGTCTTGTCTGACACAATATGATCCAGGATGAAGTTAGTCAGCTTGAAGCTGGTTTTGCAGACAAACAGCTGAGGTAAATTGTAACAATTTAGTCTTTAAAAAAACCCAATTTCCTCAGCGTCACTGGGTATTACCTGGTTTTGAAAGACCCAGATTAGAAATCTTGGTGTCATAACTGATTCAGACGTGAGCTTCACTGGTTGCATTAAGACTATAACTAGACCAGCATTTTATCATCATCAGTTAGCACGACTCAGTGGTCTCATGTCCAAACAAGACTCATTCATGTGTTCATCTCCAGCAGGCTGGACTGTTGCAATGGTATTGTGTTTGGTCTTCTCAAAAAAAGCTGCTGCTAAAGTCTTAACAAGAACCAAGAGATCCAAACACATCACTCCTGTTCTTAAACCTCTACACTAATTACCAGTAAACTACAAAATCAACTTCAAAGTACTTTTACTAGTTTATAAATCACTCAATGGCATGGGGCCAGAATACATGTCAGATCTCTTTCTTGTACACCCAGCAGGGCTCTGAGATCCTTAGAAAGCAGTCAGCTGGTAGAACCTCGGGTCAGAACCAAACAGGGTGAAGATGCTTTTAGCTTCTATGCTGCACACAGATGGAATCAGCTTCCTCATCACCTCAAATGTGTCCCAACTCTAGAAACCTTTAAATAAAAATTGAAAACTTTCACATTTTCATCAGCCTTTGAATAAATGTCCTTATGCTGCACCTTCTGCACTGTAACTGCTCACCCTTCAATTTAGTGTATTTTTTTTCTGATTTTTAAATGTGAAATAATTTTCAGTATTTAGTTTAGTCTAAATCTATTTGTGTATTTTAATTAGGAAACGTTTTTTCTGATTGGCTTAATGAACTGACCTGAATTGGAATGTTTATTATGTGAAGTGCCTTGAGATGACTCTTGTCGTGATTTGGCGCTATATAAATAAAATTGAATTGAATTGAATTGAATTGAATTATGCCATTATGTTACTTAATATTTGTGCTATTTGCACTTATGAAACTCACACTGAAAAGCCTCTCTGTGTGAAATGCGCTATACAAATAAATCTACCTTACCTAGTTCTGCTGTTCTTAGCAATATCTGCATTTCTATATGCGCACATGTAGAGTGTTTGGACATAACAACATTCAAGCCAATGAACCTCAACTGGTGGCCCCTGGGGCAGATGTGGCCCATGCAGCTTGTTTTATTTCATGGCATTGATCTGTTCAGCACTTTGGGTTGCATGAGCAACAGTAAAAGTGCTATATAAATAAAGCTTACCTTGACCTTTGGGCCCTAAAATCCCCCAATTGTGGGACTTTGATGTTTAGAAGCCAAATGCATGTCCAAAATATCAATAACTGTTCACAACTAAAACTGCAATCAAAATTCAATTCAACTCAATAATACTTCATTAATCCCAGAGGGAAAATAGAGTTTCAGTACACACAGTTCTGAGATCAGACATGCAGTACATACATACATGACAAGAATTGGTGAATGTGGTCATTCGCAACCTGAGTCGCGCTACCGTAACAGATCAAGAGGGTTTATATGTGGATAGAGTCGGGGGGGGGCCTTCAGAGTTACTCTCACCCAAGAGGGTAGCTTTGCTATGCGAAAAACACCTCAGACAGATATGCACACAGACTTCAGACATTACACCTTCTAAGTGTCCACTAGGTGGGGAGGTAGGTTTGGGACTGTCCTCACTTTGGTGCGTGCAGCCGCATGGAGCAGCGCTCGTCACCTCTGTTTGGACAGGGGAGGGAGATTAATGGGTTGGAGAGCACAGTGACTCCTAGATACGGTTCCACGGCCTTCACCAGTCACAGTCCCACCCAGGCTGGGAGAGGGAGAAAGAGTTGCCCAGCAATGGCAGCATTCCACATTTTTTCGGGGGGGGGGGGGGGGGGGGGGGTACTTCAGCCTCACAGGCTCAAGGGCACCAGATTCAGGTAAGGATTGTTTTCGTCAAGCAAACAAGACAGGACAAAGAGCCTTGGGATGAGAGGGAGGGAGAGGAGAAAAAAGTATCTGTACTCTCCAAGAGCCGGAAGTTAAAAACAGTTAAGATGAAAAACAAAGCTATCTGAAATATTAATAAATTAAGATACAATATTACTTTATTTTATAAGAGCATCTGGCCCTCACGGTGTCACCTTTGAACAAATTTTGTTGAAGACCCCTTCCCCTACATTATAAACAGTTTATGAATACTTCCATCTGGTAATCATACTGGCTTTCAGCTCTCTCTGGTTTTATTGGTTGTTGAAAGAAAAAAAGATGTCTAATTTGTTTTTGGTGGTAAAAGGTAAATGATATGTTGTTTATACAGTTATGATAGAAGATAAGAGGTTCATTGAATAGTTGTTGTCACAGAAACAAAAAAATTTTGTTGGTGTTCTGAAAAGCTGCCGTGGCACAGATTTGAATTCGGGTTGTGTTCTGTCCAAATTTTTTTAGATTAAGAGAATATTTTCAACAAATCTGCTGGAGATCAGTGATGCTTCTGAATCAGACTCTGATCCAGCTGTGGCCAGATTATTTTTGTATTTTCATTCATTTTTCTGAAAGTTTGCTGCTTCAGTGTTTGTAGATATTTTTTGTCACACATATTTTTTTCCTTTAAATTAAGTTTATACAAAGAGTCAACATTTCAAGTGAACATTTATGGGCTCTGTTGGCATAACAAAGGGCTGATGGAAGAGATCTCCTCTTCTTCTCCAGATCGTCTATTTTCTAGACGCCCTAAACCATTAGAAAGCAGATCATAAAAGAAATGTCTTTAGCTGGATTTGTATAGACAGAAGTGGCTTCTTTGCTGCCCTTCTTGAAATCAGATCATCCATAACATCCTCTCCTCACTGTATGTGCAAATTCTCTCACACCTGCCTTCCACCACTCCTGAGTAACCCCTGCACTGCTCCAGAATCATCTTTATGAGATGGTCCTGATGCTGGCTGGCTTCATACAGTATTGTTCACAAATGCAGTGCAAATTAGTTTTTGGGCATTCTGGGTTTCTCCTCCATAAAAAAAGAACTGAAAATGTGTTACAGTAAATCTGATCCGTCATTACAATGTTCTGGATTTGACAATTGCCATCATTAAAAGTGAGGAACCACATTTTGCAACAATTAATATTTGTGCCTTTTTCGAGATTTTTGACCACAGATGCAAGCCGGTCCTTATTTACCTATACTTAATTATTTAGCAGACGCTTTTGTCCAAAGCGACTTAAAGGTGATAATCAAGCTAGCAGGTTGCCCTTGAGGCTAACAACAAACACTATTCAGTCAATCCTAGGTGGCAGTGAGGCAGCATAATGAATCATAGAGGGAAGTGAACATGGAGTTGAGAGTATGGGGACGGGTGCTGGGAGGGTCCTAGTTTAGAAGATGCTCCCTGAAGAGCTGGGTGCCCCTGTTCTAGTCGTGCTTGGTAAGTCATTCCACATCTGTGGAACAGCACATGAAAAGAGTCTGGATTGTCTTGAGCGTGGTGTAGGCTCTGCTATCCGACGATCCTTCGATGGCTGGAGTGGCCGGGTGTAAGCCTTTGCAAGGTTTCAGGTAGATGGGAGATGTGTCATCCAGGATACTTATTTCACTGTGTGAACAGCTGCACTTTAGCAGTAGATGAAAAGCCACAATTTTGTCTTTGATTCATTTGTTTAAGCTTAAGCTCACAACTGACACTGAAATGATGGCTTCTCCACCGATGCATGAAAACTTTGGATGCAGTGAAAAAAAGCTCAAAGTGAATGTTGGATTTGCAGAGCTGTCTGCTCCAATCAAAATATTTATAATTAGTGGTCTATCTTTTCAGACAGTTTTGTGAGTGTGTGTGTGTGTGTGTGTGTGTGTGTGTGTGTGTGTGTGTGTGTGTGTGTGTGTGTGTGTGTGTGTGTGTGTGTGTGTGTGTGTGTGTGTGCGTGTTTGAATCAGATCTGATTAACAGATTCCCAGTGGTCCCCAGGGCTAATGGGATTTACACACCCCTGCTGATTCTCAGCGGGTGAGCAGCCTGTGTGTGACCCACCTCGTTAGACACAACATGAATGAAGAGGCACAAAAAAATAAATGAAAAAGAAACCGATGAAACATGTAATCAGAGGAAAATGAACCCAAATGCAGGTTTTAAAAACCAAACACACAAATGACTTCTTCCAGCTTGATAAAAGGACAACAGATGTCAATAAAAGTCACACATTATTGTAAAGCTAATGTGTTTTACTAGTTCAGGGTAAAATGTAAAATGTTCCTGGTGTCTAAATGGAAGCTTGTACTCCATTATGTGTTTACTCCAGGGCTTCTGTAAAGAAGGGCTTGTCCTTCAGTGCAGCTCGGCCTAGTGACCCATCGCTGTGGGACGTTGTGGTGGAGCCCGGCAGAGGAGCGACTCCTTACACTGTGTCTGTTGTCTGCAACAGGAAGCTGTCCGCTACTTCAAAAAGGTCAGACTGCTGCTGCATATGCATTTTAGAATATTTGCAATGTGAGCTACAGAAGCATTTTTTATCTAAATCTCCCTTTTGTCTCAGCTGGCCTTGTATGAATAAGCAACCACAATTACATCAGGTCACAATAAAGCAAAAAGGGTCAATATTAGAGTATTTGTTTTAAAGAACGTAGTACTTTAAACATGAGACTTTTTTCTCCAAAGGCTATAATTGATGACCTTGTTCTTGAATGGCAAACTGTCAAGATCTCGAAGTCACACAATTTTTATCAAAGGACATGTTGTTGCAGTGTCTTGCGGTTCTGCTTCATGAATTAATAAAATGACAAACCAGTGCTATAAACTCATAAATCTAATATCTAAAGTCAGCATGGGGTTTTAAGTAGTTTGTTTTTACAGTTTTGGTAGCCTGAAGGCAAGTTAAAATGGTTTACCTGGATTATACAGTTTAATGCGTGCATAATCTGAGTGACACTTGAGGAAAAACAAATACCCCCTCAAACTGAAACACAATTAAAACCATAGCAGGATGACCTAAAACCATTCATGCATTCACCCTTCTGGGCTCACAATGAGGAAGACCCTTTTTGATGAAGCATCCAAGAGAGAGCAGAGCACGTCTCGGCTAGTAGAAGCTAACCGTTAGCATTAGCAACTCCACCACACTACACAGCAGCACTCCTTCAGGTTGGTGTTATTTGTGGAGGTAAAACATTGTAGAGCAAAGGAAGTGACTTGTAGAGTCATGTTGCTGTTAGCCAATCACAGGCGAGATACCCAAATATCAGGAAATAAGACAATCATGTGTTCTCCTTCCTACTTCTCTGTCTCCTGAAACAGGAGTGCAAGAGCTTTTGTCCCATTGAGATCGACTCACATGCATTCGTTGCACCGCGACTGATTGGATTAATTTCTTTACATGAGCCATCTATTCCACAAAATTTATGAGAAGTGGTTGAACATTTTGATTTGAGAAATGCACAATCCTTAACACGTTTTGACACTGGAACTTGGGCCTTTGAAGTAATAGTGAGGATGTTTGCTGTCTTTAAATTGTCTTGACCATTGCCTTCATACAGTCAATCAAATCTGGAAAAGCTTGGGGAGTCGGCTAACTTAGTTTATAAGCAATACAACAGATAAACAGACAAGTCTTGTGTTCCATTTAGAAGAAATATATCCAATGAGCTAATCTGCTTGCAAGTGGCTCTGAATCCTACCCATACATAAAGACTGTAGAGTAAATGACAGATGCCTGACACTGTTAGCTTAGACTTTTAAATAAGGCAATGAAATCCATCCATCCATCCAGTTTTAATACTCGTTTTGTCCCGTTCAGGGTCACCAAAGGGCTGCATCTGTCACAGCTGACGTTTGGTGAGAGATGAACTACATCCTGAGCAGGTCAATAGTTTCAAAGACACGTCTTTGGAATTAAGAGGGAAACCAGCGAACCCAGTGACAACCTACTTTACTCACAAGATTGATGCTCGTATTCAAATTCTCCAAGCATGTTTACGATAATTTCAGTCTTTGACTTTTTGACCACCGGCAATGTTCAGATATGGTTTAAAATGCCTGAGTATTTTTTAAATTCGGACTGAAGTGTTCTTTTCATGTGTTTGGGTCATAACTGCAAGATTGTAGTCGTCCATCAACCTTAAAAATAAAAGTGGAAAATACTACTTACAGGGGAAACAAAACATTTTTTAATTTGGTGCAAAAGTCATTTTATTTCACTAATTCATCTTTAAAAGGTGGAACTAATATGTGAGATAGACTCATTCCATGCAGAGCCAGATATCGGAAGCCTTTATTTGTTATAATTGTGATGATTGTGGGGTACAGCTGATGCAAAGCCCACATTTAAAATTTCAGACAGTTAAAATAATGTGAAAAGGTACTAGTTTGATATTCTAGACTCAGTTACACTCTAACCAGCTAATGGATCCATAACACTTGCAAATGGTTCCTGAGTCTTTGGATTGTCTCTCAGCCTATGCTGTGTTACTGGAATAAATGGAATTTTGCACCATATTCAAAATTTCAGTTTCACCCATATAGCAGAACGTCTAAACCAAGTTCCAGCTCCATCTGCAGCGCTCGGGACTGGAAATCTAACTATTAACCTGAATTACAGCTACGATGGTTTATAATAATAATGAATGATCTAGTCAGCAGTGCTAATTGATGATAATCTCTGGAGCATGTAACAAGGAAAGTGTCTCTCCTGAGTTACAGCAGAGCGTCCCTTTCACTGATCCAATCTCGAGGCAACCTTTTAATCCTCTCTCAGTGGATTTTGGCTGGATTTTCTGGCTGAAGAATGATTTTTGGTACTGTTATCACTCTCAGATACATTTGTGTGAACACTTACATTGTACATTTTGTGTGTGTGAACAAGGAGAGGACAAAATACTGAATCAAATCGTTATGCTTCTTTATATTTATTTATTTATTTTTTACTTATTTGGAATTAATATATATATATATATATATATATATATATATATATATATATACACACACATATATATATATATATATATATATATATATATATATATATATATATATATACAATTTCCTTCAATGAACTTTCTCTTCCTTTTTTACCTGCTTCATAAAACCCTGATGACATCAGTTGACGCAGCCGCCTCTGCCCAGCAACCTCCCGCCCACTCAGCGCCGCCTTCCATCCGACCCACATATCCTCAGCCATCCATAATCACGGCTACGTTATCCAGGCTTAAGTGCTTGCACGTTCAGAGATTAGGAAGCAGAGATATTCTAAGTTGTGTCTCGTGTGCTGAGCCTTATCCGGGACTCTCATAAGCAAAAAATAAGGCTGAACTCTCACACACACACACACACACACACACACACACACACACACACACACACACACACACACACACACACACACACACACACACACACACACACAAACTCAGCTCTGTGCTTTCAGGTGATGACAGATGCAGTCCCAGGAAACAGACCAGATGTGTTTCACTGTCTCAGTCTCAAACTTGCATTATTTTTAGTGTGAATCAATTCAGTCTACTGTAGATCTGTCTGAGTAATTAAATTCATAACAAAACAATCATATAGGGCTGCTCGCCAAGGATGGAACAAAAATTCGGTTTACTCAGTTTTGCATGTTGAATAACTATAGTAGCTACTTCTGTACAATTTCAAGGTAAGAACTGTAAATCAGGAGAAGTATTTGAATGAATTAAAATTTTTAGTGACTGGAGTTACATTCCTTACATAGACCTAAAACGTGTACCGCATGTTTCTGGTCATAATATGAGCTAATATGTTTATGTTTATTCATTTCGCAGACGCTTTTACCCAAGGCGACTTACAATTTATAACCTATAGGCATGTTGTGAACTGTGGGGGAAACCGGAGTACCCGGAGGAAACTCACGCATGCATGGGAAGAACACGCAACTCCACGCAGGAAGGCCGCAGCCGAGTTTCGAACTTGCGACCTTCGTGCTGCGAGGCAACAGTGCTAACCACTGCACCACCATGCAGCCCTATATGGTGCTTTTAGTGTTGCAAAGCAAACGGAAAGATGGTGTCGGTATAATAATTTTACCCTTTGTACTAAATAGTTTAATGTAAGCTTAACCTGAGTTTTTGAGCTAGTTTCATATTTCGGTGACAAATTCTTTTGCCAGAAATCCTGCCAGAATATCGATTATCTAGGGCTCTTAGTTTAAAACTTTTTCCTTCACAAGCTGATGATTAATGTAATCTTGGAACATTCTAACATCGTTCTATAGTTAAGCTATGTTGACAAAAGCATAAACTTTCCCTAAACCTGATTAACTGAAGAAAGGAAGCAGTGACTCATCTTCCTCAGACTCTGGTCTCTTATAATGAAGCTCGCCTCTCGTGTAATATTGTTTATCTTTGCTTATTCATCAGACACTTTTTTCCACATTGACTTACAGTTGTGTAAATAGTGAATTAATCTAACATGCATGTTTTACGGCCTGTTGGAGGAAACCAGAGAAACCTCTAGAAAGCTCAAGCATGCATGAGAACATGTTAACGCCAGGCGAGGTTTTTCCTGCAAGACGGCAGCTTTAGCCATCGTGCAACCAAAACAAAATTCTCAATAATTAAAAAATTTAAATTGTTATCTTAAAATATTTTTAACCACTAATTGTTCAAAGGCGTAGTTTATTTATTATTATTTATTGAATTTTGTTTACTATTTTTGAGGTCCTAATGTTCCCAAATATAGTGCTGGTGAAGCTTCTCAATCGTCATGGTAATCCTAGAAAATTTAATAAAGTCCAGTTGCCTTTATTTAATATAACGGGAGAGGATTAGGGCCACTGAAAAGAAACATAATTCAAACTTCTTTTATACTCAGAAGTCAAATGTCAGAATTGTGAGAATCAAGTCAGATATCTTTTTGTTTTCTTTTTTCTCTTTCTTTTCAGTGGCCCTAATCCTCTTCTGTACAACCTGCTACCAATCAGTTTTGAGAAATAAAAAATGCATGCCAGACACATTTTCAGGATTCACGCTCATTAAAAAAAGTGACTTATTAGGGCCTGGACACTTTTAGCCTATGCATTGTTCAAAAGCAAACACATTTCCGGCCCTAATAAGGAAGTTACAGATAATGACCTCATGGTCGACACAAATCATAGTCTGCTTGATTAAAGTTCAGTTTAAACTTTGCCATTATTTGATCCAGAATGGACAATAATGATTTTTTTTTTCGGTTGAGATTTAGGGATTTTCTGTTATTGACAGGATCTATGAAGATTATCTTTGGCCACCGATTTGACTCCTTCCCTAACATTTTATTGTGCAGCCATGTTTCACTCCACTCCAAAGTATCTCCATTTACATATCGTTCTATTGTGCTTTTGATCTGCTCTTACTGGCAGGTATGCCTGCAGTCTCTTCAGCATCAAATAACATCAAATGCTGTTTCTTTGACACTCCTTTGACCAGATTTCTTGGCTGAAGCCTCTGTCAGCTCACCTTATCTTCCTTTCACACTCTCACCTTATTTTCTGTTGAGAGATGAGAGACCCCCTGTGTGTTTATGTGAAAACTCCACAGGTGGTTTTCCCACAGATTTCAGAGTCGTTTTTGTTTCTTTCCCTTTTAGTTCATTTTTAAACATTTTTGCAGTAATTTGAACATTTAAAAATAAACTCCAAGCTTTAACCTTCTGGAGGCAGGCGTTGCAGATTTACAACGTTAAAACCTACCTACCTGGTTACTCCACATTTGTATTTCATGAGCATTTTTTTGACTCAGAAGAACCCCTGAAGGACTTAATTGTTCGTCCTTTTTATCAAAACTTATTTTGAGCTTGAGAGGGTTAAACGTAAACCAAATGCTGTCGCTTTTTTGAATTATTTTCTTATTATTTAATCTCCAAACAGGGGTCTTCTGGAAATTCTGCAGCTTGACTTTGTACCAAAAGACGTTTCGGAGCAGGTTGAGAGCCAGGCCATCTCATGGCGCTTGGAGCTGCCAGGAAATGTCAAGGATGTTGGCTTAATGCGGATCTACACCACCCGGAGAGACTACATGGGGCTGGCACCTCTGGTGATGGTGAGAGAACAATAATTGCATCATTTCAGCTAAACTTTTTTCTTTTCTTTTTATGTCAGTCAAAGTTAGAGAGATAAAATCGAGGGTGCATCTGTATTTGATGTTCTAGATGAAAAGAAATCTCTTTTCAGGGGAAGGATTACAGTCTTAACATTAATGCAATCATGTGGGAGAACGCTCAGACTATTTCCTGTGTTGCTTTGCCTGGATGAAGATGCTTGGATACAGAGATAAATATTCTGCACCAAAGGTTTAACTTTCTGAGGAACAAAATGAAACATCACCTGGAGTTTGGATCCTAACTGAGCAGATTAAATGTTACAGATAAGTGCAGTTTTGCCTCTTGGCGGAGGCGCCTTGTCTAGGCATTACACTCAAATGATTTCTGTATGTTCTCATTCTGATTTAAGTCATTGTTACATCTACCATTTGCACAAAAAAGATTATCATATAGTTTTGTCTGTTTTTTTAAGATTCTTTGAGACAAATATTTAGCTCAGGGAAGTGAAATTCAATTTTAAGAGGACCAAAAAAAAATCTTAATTATGAACCTTTTATCAAACTGAATTATTTATTTAGAATTTTTCATGAAAAGGGGATTTAATTTAAAATAACTAAAGTTTGTATATAAAGCAATCACAGAAATGTGCTTTAAATAAAACATTAAAATTAAAACATGATTAAAAGACAAGACAATTAAAAAGATAACTAAAAACAAATAAAGATCAAAAGATTACAGATTGAAATAAGCATAAACTTTTAATATGTCTTGTCTTTCACTCTCTTAAAATTAAATCCCTTAATGGAAGTCCAAATAAATGAAATTATTTTTCAAACATTCAGCCACAGATAAAAAAAAGAAATAAAGATAGTTTTGTTAAAAGCTATATACCTACATACAGGTGAAATTTGAAAAATAAAAAAAGAAATTGAACAAATAAATAAATTTCCAGCAAAAGTCCATTTGTTTCTGTAATCCAGCTTAGACTGAGAAACCATCTAAAGGCTCAGTAACCCATTGAAATATATGGCTTTGAATGTAATGAGTCTATCTCATATATTAGTTTCACCTTTTAAGTAAAATTACTGACAAACATGACCTGTTTCACCATTTCCTAATTTAAAATTTTTCACCTGTATTTTCTTAGATCAATATTTAGGATCAGGTTACGCAGTGATACTAATCAGGACAGAATCAGACGACTCCTGTTTGATTCGATCCCTTTTATCACAGAGGAAGTTGTTCAAACATGTCTGTTCTAGGGAATGTAGACCAGTTTTGTTCGGATTTTAAAGTGGCCATTCAGTAGAACCAAAAGCAAAACTTATTTCCTCGCTGTGTGTTTGTCTTTTTAACACCGGTGAAATGTCTCCCCAGCCTCGATTAGTGTCTTCAGGAGCGATTCATAAACAAATCAAACAAATCGGCTATGTTCTTGATCTAAGACATGCAGGAAATGCGCTGGAAGCAGACAACAATAAGTCCAACAGACCGGACTGGCACTCTGAACTTGCAGAGGGCAGTGGGGTCTGAGTGACATTTCCTTAACCATGTAAAGGGTCATTTTAGCACATACTGGCTCAAGATAATCATGTGAAAAAGTTGCAAAGTATGGCTTTAAACCAGCAGTAGCTCAGTGGGTAGAGTGGATTTACCAGTAATCAGAGAGTTGTATGATGGGTTACATGTGTGTGTGTGTGTGTGCATGGGTGAATGACTGACTGTGTTGTAAAGCACCTTGGGGGGTTCTAGGCCTCTAGAAGGTGCTACATCAGATACAGGCCATTTATCATTAAACTAAATTTGCAATAAGAGATTCTGCCTCTCACTTGTTCTCAGAGTCCTCCCTGTTTGCATGAGGCTACTCATGATGATGGGCTTGCTTGTTCAAGAGCATCTAGAACATGCATGTGAAGTATGATCTCACAGACTGGATACTCGTTCCACAGGTCACATTTAGCCCATGGGCCTTGAGACTAACATATAGGTTTTACAAAGTGAATTGCTGTCTGTCTCCAACAAGAGACTCATGAGTCTATTTCATGGTGCAACAGTCCACATAAATCAAACAAGCATCAGGGAGGAAATCTGTTTCCTCTCTGTCACTGAAAGGATTCACATAAAAAAGAACCTCCTGCAGAAGATACAAGAAACAAATCATCACCATCATTTGTGAGTCAATCTCATCACACATTAATGTTACTTTTATCCAAACAAGACTTTGAAAAACACATTTTATTGCCTTTTCCTCTGTGAATTTAGCAGCAGTGTCACACTTGTGTAAAGTTGAACTACTTGAGCTTATTGACTGAAGAAGCACTTTCATGAATAAAATCATTCCAGTTTGTTTAGATTTTTTTTGCTGAGTGCAAACCAAACATGGCTTGTCTCACTATTTGAGCCACCAGATTATCGCCGAGCTGCAGAAACATTGAATGTGAACTTCTCCCAGCGTGATGCTGGCACCTCCGCAGAGCGCTGCGATTGCTTTCTGATTTCCTGCTCCGCCTGATCCCCCTGGCTTAAGTTTAGGTCCGTATTGCTGTCTGAACTAGAACATGTCCTTTTGGAATCACGGTCAGCAGCTGTTGAGACGGCCGAGTTCAAAACGCAACGCTGCCATTGAACATCTGCCGGGCACTGGCTGGTAGTTTAGAGTTACACGTAACTTTGATTGTCTTTTTGGGAAAAGTTCAAACAAAAAACACCAGAAAACAAATAAAAAAATTAGATTGGATGCATAATATGTAATGCATTATATTAGAAATGACTGATTTGTTGTAGGTGTCTGCTTGATTTTGAATGATGGATATACGTCGTCATGTTAGAGGAATTATTTTCATTCTGAACACATCTGTCCACTTTGCGTGTGATTGTTTTATAGGTTGAACAGAATCCAACATGTCAGGTGTGTGTTTTTAAATCACTGCTGGTCTTGCTCACACCTCCTCTCTGCCTGTCATCTCTGCACACGTACAAATGATGATAGTGATGATAGCAGGAGAGTGTCATGTTGGCTATTACTGTGGTGTAGCGCTATATTTCAGAGGCTTACAGGCTCTCTTTACTTCAGACTTTCACTGCCTTTAAACCACAATCTGCATGAAACATAACATCAGTTTAATTAAAAACCAGAGATTTGTTTCAATGATATTTTAGTTTTTTATATTTGCTGTTCAAAAGGAGCAGGGTGCTTCTGTTCCCTTTACATTTCCTTTAAAGGAACAGCATATTAGATAGCATATGCTTTAGATAAAATGACTGAAACAGAAAGCTTTCTTGTATTTTTGCAACAATATGTTTGATTTTACACCTCAAAAAGAAGTTCATTTATTTACAAAGTTTGGTGTAATAATTTATTAGCATTTTAATTAAATATTTTAGGAATTGTACAATGGTTGTAATAAAAAATGCTATTATTATCATTACCATCATCATTTGATTTTAAGTATTTAGAGTTTTTTGTGTTGTCTCTTAGACAAGTTATATGCTTAATCATTTGTTTTCATTGTGACTTTTATTCTTGCAGTTTGTCGTATCATTTCTGTTTTAAAAAAGGTTTAGAAAGGAGCTTTTTTAAAATGTTATTTCAGTCATATCTTCTACATGCAGCTGCACCTGCACACATTTATTTTCTAATTTTAGCACTTTGTCTATAAAACAGATATTAGTTGTTCTATATTTTTCAAATGCTATTAAAGAGACAAAAACATTTTCAGGAATAAAAAGGACCATATGGTGCATGAAATAGTGCAATAGCAAAGATCTCACAATTTTTCATGTTAAGAAAACAAAAAGAAATATGACTGCTGGTAACTCTGCTTGTATCGCCTTCTTTATGTGTAGACCACGGACATTTTGAATACGGCCCAGCTGACTGGTAAAATGGTTGCAGTTCCTGTAAAAACTCTGGCAGTCGAGGCCGATGGCTCAGTCACCGACGTGACCAACTACACCAGCTGCAGGTCTACAGAGGAGGATGTGCTGAAGGTAAGTTATAAAACCAGCTAAAATATAAATCTTGAATGACTTGCCTGGTAAAAAAAAACTGTTTACAAAGTCTTCAGATGAAATTTGTGCCTTCACATGAACACAGTTATCATTCTTACGCCATTTTTTGATTGCAAGTACTGGATTATTTAGGCCACTAATAGATTTACAGTAACTTCCCTATGACGCTGCAGATTTACACCTGTGTGTGTTTGTGTGTGTGTGTGTGTGTGTGTGTGTGTGTGTGTAAGCATTTTGGATAAAAACTACATGTTCCAATTTGGTATCTGACCCAGAGCTTGTGATCCCAGCTCTCAGTTTGCACCGTGAGCACACAGATCTGACCTTTCTGCTGAGGATCTGTGTTACCTGGACAGTGATAGCAGCTCAAAGAAGAAAAAAAAACAGAATATACAAAAGAAGAAGGAATTTTTAGTTTCTATATAGTTTTTATAAGTGGAAAATTATGTGTTACATCAGAAAGTGAGAAAGAAGCTGAATAGAGGTAAACTGTGTTTATTCTTTTTTTTTTTATCAGCGGAGAACTTAATTCAGTTAATAATGTGCTTCTGATAACCTTCTCATGTTCCTTTGAGCTCCATTATAGTGATACCGATAACCAGATGAAGTCAGACCTCAAACCAGACTCTTATTACTTTTATTGCTACAAGCTTTTTATTTTATTTATTGTTTTTGGAATTTATTCTCCAGCAGAATGCAAACACACTGTTTGGCTTAGCTACAAGCCAGCATCAGACTTGTTATGTGTACATTAAACAAGTCTAAAACTATGCTTGCAGGTTTGAGAGTTTTTTTCACTGCTATAATTAAAGTATACTATTCATTTAGACGTAACTAGTAGGCAGTCAATGGGTGGAGAAATTATCAAATCGGAAAAACAATCTGTAAATGAGCTCTGAGTAAAGAGGGGCAGTGATGCTGTGTTGCAGGGATAAACTGGGCAGTGAAATCCCTGCTAGATGATAATTTGTACAAAAACAAAGGTTACTGTTTCTTAAAAGCTGTGACCTTTTTTTAGGTGCGTTATCATTCCTGTAGCATTAAAACAACATTCACGAGTAGCACGAGCAACATGACAAGCAATTCAGACATCAACTCAGCATTTATATTGTTCAAATCTTCCTCCTCCTTTTCTTTTGTGAGGTTTATTGAAACAAAAACTCAAGTTTGCTCAACCTTAGCTCTGTTCCAATAGAAATCAACAAAAGGGTAATGAGCAGACTTGATCACAACAGCCTACATAAACAAACCAACCCGTTTCACACAAGGTCTCCATAAACTAAAAACCCCTCACTGGAGTAGATACTTGAATGCAAAAGCTTCTCTAAAGCACACACTAGGCACTAAGAACATATTACAAGGTTAGCAAGCTAGGGGAAGATGAGGGTCTACAGTACAGGTATGTGTACCAACCTTTTCTCTTCTCTCCTTCCCAACCAAAAACCTGCTTACTTTTAAAAGTGAGTGAGTGAGTGAGTGAGTGCGTGCTCCTCTTATTGGGCGCTGTCCTGGTGCTGATCTGCCCAACATGCAGCCAGGGTGGAGCTGTCCCCGGTGCTGAATCAGGAGGCTGCAGAGGTGTCCTAAACACACTTGATAAGGGCCTCACCTCACAGCTTACAACACTTCATCACCTGTGCTCACAGCTCAAGTTTATTTTTTTCTTCTAAATCATTTAGGTTGACAACAAAAGAGCACAAAGGTATTGTTACTGTTATCTGCAGCGCTGCAGAGATTTGTAGCTATCAAAAACATATTATCAGCAAAGATGTGCTTTGTAAATCTATGGTGTTTAAATTTTGTAATTAATCTGCAATTTGCACGCATGCCCAACAGGAAGTGTCGGCATCTGTATTGATCACAAATCAATTGCTGTGTGTAGTCTGTGAGTGTGTAAATATGCACACACACCTGCACAGATGAGGTGAGAGATTTGTCGCTTAAAATAACAAGAAACACAAAACAGTTAAAGATTAATGATAGTTAATGATAATGATAATAAGAAGAGGATTACAACTAAGCATGTGTGATGATTACTGTTGACAAAAAAACATATCTAGCTGAAACAAACCAGGGAGAACATTAAGGATGCTAAAAATGAAACACAGAGCATTTAATCAGCCCCATTAAGAACCACACTCAAGGTCATATCGCAGTATTTTGTTCCTCGGATATTACATTTACACATTTCTTTTATATTCTGCTTTTATCCAACTGTTATTTTGATGTTTTTCTATGAATAAACTTCTTTAACTCCTTTTGTGAAGGATGTCCCTGATTTAAAAAGTGGAGATTAAGTTCCAGCAGACCACCGGAAGTGATGGAGGTCAGGGACGGAGAGCATGACCGGCTTCAAGCAGAATGAGAATCAGAAAAATAGAATTTGGACAAAGCCAATGAACTGAACACATTCGCTAGTAGGTTCAGTTCAGAACTCAGCTCAGCATTGTCTTCTTTACCCCCATAGCCAAACCACCACCACCTTCCCATGACCCACTGCTTTCCTGTCACAGCTCAACTATTTCAGCTGTTTCATCTTTCACCTCTGCCTCATTGTTGTTGTCACATGAGGAGATGCTGGTGTTTCTTTTGGCTCCCTTTCCCACTGGTTTGTCTCCAGCAGTCAGGTGAGGAGGAGGAACTAGACCAGAACAAGGCAGCAGGAATCATCAAGACCAATGCAGACCAGTTGTGTGGTAATGTGCAGCACTTTTTCAACTTCAGCGACTTTAGATATTTAGATGTAATGTCATACATGATGAAAGGATGTGGATTTCAGGACAAGCATGACAAACACCTTTTATCATGGGAAAAGAAGCGGAGGTGGTGTAGAAACATAAACACTTCTGTTCATACCGACAGCAGACTGGACTAGAGAACAATGAGTTCTTAAGGAAGCTGAGATCGTTCAAAGTTAGCAGGAAGACGTTCCAGATTTTCTGTAAGTCTTAAGTGGAGAGTGCAATCTCATCTGCAGCATCAGAGCCAGGGTTTGTAAAAAGATGAGCAAGCTGCAGGCTGGCTTTGTTCTGAGGACTCCTCTGGAATCCCTAGAGCTGATTTTGCAAAGGAGAATAATCCATAAATTGAAGAAGATGATGGAAAACCTGATCATCCTCTTCACAAAGCAGTAAGTCAGCAACAGTGTGTTCAGTCGGAGGCTTTTGTAGATCTGCATATTAGTTCGTTATTGTATGACAGAGAAATGTAATAGCTACAACAGGTGACACGCTGATTCTAGTTTTCACTGCTTCCTCCAACTTCACTAGCTTATTTCTCTTGTGTACTGCCCAGCACAACGCCTCATATGTTGGAGTTCAAGTCTTAACTTTGTAAGGCAGAATCAGAGTGCAAGTCATCTGTGTGCTCCTCACCTTAGGTCACAAGTCCCTTAAATGTGACTCGGGTCCGGGTTCAAGTCCCCCATCAATCAGCAACAATAACATTTTGAAAAATATAATAAAAACAATCAAATTACCCCATGTATGTCAGAAGAATTTGACTTTGAATTCCACCTAAAACAACACTAGCAGATTTAGTATTAATGTTCATCATAAACAAGATCATGCATTTCTGATGCCTCATCGTCTCATGGATTCTGTAATCATGTTAAACATTCAGTCTGCATTTATTTGACATTTTATGAAAGCGTGAGCAATAAAATGTAGTTTAAAATATTTTTTGTGCCAAAATATTAATTGGATTAAAATGAAGAGAATTTCAGATGAAAAGGGCATTTCAAGATATCTCACCCCCAAACTCGTGTCATCACTTAGAATGAATGTTTTGTGGCGCCTCTGATGTCATTATTAACTTTGGATCAGCATCAGAGACCAGCTCTGGAAGGCATGAGGAAGTTTGTTGTGTGTGTGTGTGTGTGTGTGTGTGTGTGTGTGTGTGTGTGTGTGTGTGTGTGTGTGTGTGTGTGTGTGTTTGCGTGTTTGCGTGTGGGATAGAAACAGTCTGCAGATAGGAGCCACTACCTACATTTCCACAGGAGTTCAACTTGACTATTCTTAGACGACATTTCTTCCTTTTCTATTTTCTCCATTTTTTTGCCTTCCCTTTTCCACCACCCCATTTCTCTCCAGTGCCACACTCTATTCTCCAGTCTAGTGCTCTTCAATTACCCCAGTGGCTCCACTGGTTTGTTAAGATAAGTGAAGCAGCAGCAGAGATAGGCCTCCAATCTGAAATAAAACACACCAACTGCTTTCTCACCTCATTGCCCGTGCTGGTGAGGACCGGAAGGCTCTACCCTCCCTGTGCCGCACTACACGAACAGACGTAAAGCAGAGCTAATTTACATTCTGTAACAGTCACGACTTCAGGTGACACAAACGCAGCATTATTCCCTGGCTGCCCATTAGAAGTCATAAAAAATACACAAAGTTTGTTTTAGCACATATTGCTTTTGCTTGACTTTCTGTCCCTTATCTAAGCTTATCAGTCATCCATGCTTAAACAAACTTCACGTGGAAACACTTCAATATATTACATCTAGATAAACATGAAAAAAGTTCATCCCATTTGCCTTTTACTCAACTCTATCATGTGAACTTTTAATCTCATGTTATTCTTTTGCATAATGCTTAAGTGTTTGATCTTTTCTCTTTTGGCTTGTTTGTCTCTCCAGGTGTCCGAGCGATGCAACTACGTTTATGTAAATGGAAAAGAAACAAGAGGCAAACTCAGGGTGATGGTTAATTTTACTTATGGTTTCCTGAACGCGCAGCTGGAGATGAGCGTATGGATGCCCCGCCTGCCCCTGCTCATTGACGTGTCTGACCCTGAGCTGAGCCAGATAAAAGGTTGGAGGGTCCCGGTTACTACAGGGAACAGGCGGTAAGAAGTGTCCAGGTGTTTCGTGTTTGTGGAAGTAACTTGATCATGAGGAAGCCAAATGCACCTATTTTAGGCTAATAGTATATTCAATTCAATTCAGTTCAATTCAAGTTCATTTATATAGCGCCAAATCACAACAAGCGTTATCTCAAGGCACTCCACATAATAAACAGTATTTTTCCAAAATAAAGATAAAATGTTGGAAGCTCACTTTGAAAAACATCTTAATGAAAGTCACAGACTCTACTGCCTCTATAATCACCCCAAACATGAAAAAAAATATTCATCTGTTCTCTGTTAGTTTGGTTTAGTCATTATGTGCCTAAAACGAGCCGTTGCAAAAAGTCCCCATTTGTGATGTCACAAATTCACTCTCTGATCCAAGTCTCTCCAGGGTATCAAAACGTATCTGCGTATAACAGCCCGGGGAGAGGGGTGGGTGGGGGTGTGGCCAGCTTCAGCTTGTTTTCTTAAAGTGACAGAGGTCTGAAATGGCTTATTCTGGAAGGTACTGATATTATCAAGAATAAACTGCTGAGATTGTGTTATGTGGGAGGGATTTTATGAAAAGGACTTCATGAGCATGTTTATACAATTATAACTTAAAAAAAGTCATGATACTTTATTCAAACTAACATACTGTAGTTTAGGTGGCACAGCTATGACTTTTAGTCAAATTATTCAAATGTATTATTTGTTAAACAAAAGTAGTTTTAGGACTACCTAATTCGTTTTTTCAAGAGTTAGCTACTGTATTAGCAAACCAAATGGCTAATAAAAAAGCTCTAGAATGTTGTATTTTATGGAACAAATAAATGAATGAATAAAAAAATAAAAAAATAAACAAAATTTGTGTGTTTAAAATGTTTTATGTCAAATTTTAAAAGTCCCGAGAGCAGTGGGGGACATTGAGTCCGAGTGGGCCTTGTTCCACTCTGCGATTGTCGAGGCGGCTGTTGCTAGCTGTGGTCGTAAGGTGGCCGGTGCCAGTCGTGGTGGCAACCCCCGTACCCGCTGGTGGACACCAGAGGTTCGGGGAGCCGTCAGGCTGAAGAAGGAGGCCTACAGGGCGTGGCTGGTCTGTGGGTCTCCGGAGGCAGCAGACAGGTACCGGATAGCCAAGCGGGGTGCAGCAGTGGCAGTTGCCGAGGCAAAATCTCGGGCGTGGGAGGAGTTTGGTGAGGCCATGGAGAAAGACTATTGATCGGCTCCAAAGAGGTTCTGGCAAACTGTCCGGCGCCTCAGGAGAGGAAGGCAGCAACTCGCTCACACTGTTTACAGTGGGGATGGGGAGCTGCTGACGTCAACTGAGGCTATAGTCGGACGGTGGAAGGAATACTTTGAGGAGCTCCTCAATCCCACCGATGCGCATTCCGAGGAGGAACCAGAGCTGGGAGGCCTGGGGATGGACTGTCCGATCTCGGGGGCAGAAGTTGCTGAGGTAGTCAAACAACTACACAGCGGCGGAGCCCCGGGGGCGGATGAGGTTCGTCCTGGGTATCTCAAGGCTATGGATGTTGTAGGGCTGTCATGGTTGACACGTCTCTACAACATTGCGTGGTCATCGGGGGCAGTTCCTAGGGAGTGGCAGACCGGGGTGGTGGTCCCCATCTTTAAGAAGGGTGACCTGAGGGTGTGTTCCAACTATAGGGGGATCACACTCCTCAGCCTCCCTGGAAAGGTCTACGCCAAGGTACTGGAGAGGAGGGTCCGATCGATAGTTGAATCTCAGATAGAGGAGGAGCAATGTGGTTTTCGTCCTGGCCGTGGAACTGTGGACCAGCTCTATACCCTTGCAAGGGTGATGGAGGGGGCATGGGAGTTTGCCCAACCAATCCACATGTGCTTTGTGGATTTGGAGAAGGCTTATGACCGTGTCCCCAGGGGCACCCTGTGGGGGACGCTCCAGGAGTATGGGGTGGGTGGCTTTCTGTTAAGGGCCATTCAGTCCCTTTACCAGAGGAGCGTGAGTTTGGTCCGCATAGCCGGTAGTAAGTCGGACCTGTTCCCAGTGAGGGTTGGACTCCGCCAGGTCTGCCCTTTGTCACCGGTTCTGTTCATCACTTTTATGGACAGAATTTCTAGACGCAGCCGTGGTGTGGAGTGTGTCGAGTTTGGTGGCAGGAGAATCTCGTCTCTGCTTTTTGCGGATGATGTGGTCCTCCTAGCTTCATCCAGCTCTGACCTTCAGCTCTTGCTGGGTAGGTTCGCGGCCGAATGTGAAGCGGCTGGGATGAGGATCAGCACCTCCAAATCTGAGACCATGGTTCTCGACCGGAAAAGGGTGGCTTGCCACCTCCGGGTCGGGGGAGAGGTCCTACCTCAAGTGGAGGAGTTTAAGTATCTCGGGGTCTTGTTCACGAGTGAGGGTAGGAGGGATCGGGAGATCGACAGGCGGATTGGTTCGGCGTCTGCAGTGATGCGGACGCTGAGCCGATCTGTTGTGGGGAAGAGGGAGCTGAGCCAGAAAGCCAGGCTCTCGATTTATCGGCCGATTTACGTCCCAATCCTCACCTATGGTCATGAGCTTTGGGTAATGACCGAAAGAACGAGATCGCGGATACAAGCGGCCGAAATGAGTTTCCTCCGTAGGGTGGCCGGGCTCAGCCTTAGAGATAGGGTGAGGAGCTCGGACATTCGGGAGGGACTCGGAGTAGAACCGCTGCTCCTCCGGATCGAAAGGAGCCAGTTGAGGTGGTTTGGGCATCTGGTCAGGATGCCTCCTGGACGCCTCCCCGGGGAGGTGTTTTGGGCATGTCCTGCCGGCAGAAGGCCCCCGGGTCGACCCAGGACACGTTGGAGAGGTTACATCTCCAATCTGGTCCGGGAACGCCTTGGGGTCCTGCCGGAGGAACTGGTGGACAAGGCCGGGGAGAGGACGGCCTGGAGCTCCCTAATTGGGATGCTGCCCCCGCGACCCAGACCCGGATAAGCGGAGGAAGACGAAGACGACGAAATTTTAAAAGTACACTTAATTTATTTTTGTAATGAAGCTGTTGATTTTAATAATTAATTAGTTAAACTTTGCTGAATCTAAGGCTAGTGCTACCTAAACAAGAATTCGGCATATTTTTCCTGTAGAGCAGGGGTATCCAATCCTGGTCCTGGAGGGCCGGTATCCAGCACGTTTTTTGTTTTAACCCTTCTTCAATACACCTGCTTTCATTCAGCAGGTATTAACAAGCTTCTGCAGAGCCTGATGAGCACAGGTGATCCAACAACTGTGTTGGAGAAGAGAAATAACTAAAATGTGTGGAATACCGGCCCTCCAGGGTCGGAATTGAAGACCCCGGCTTTAGAGTGTTAGTTTAATTAACAGGGTGAATTTTAACATTTTCTTTTTAATTAGTAAAAGTCACAATACCAATATCAGGCTGACATGATGACATCAGTCCATTGATGAAACTTCTAGATCCTTTACTTTATGGTCCCTGTTTATGTAATTTATTTTCATTTGTTTTTGTGGTATAAAAGGACAATTTTCAAAAGATTTAGAATTTTTTTTCTTATCTGAATAAAATAATCATTTCAAAACCCAGTTTACATATATCGATCCTTCCACATGTAGCATACCGGTATATGCCACAGCATGTATAGAGTATGTAAAAAATAACATTGAATTTTTAGCTTAACAGGATTTTATAGAATCCCACATTTATGGATTTCATTGTTAAAACTGATGAAGTTTGGCTCAATTTTTCACAAGTGAGCAAAACACTTGAATGTGTGTGTTGCAGAAGTGTCTTCATAAATATGTGGCACCTAAACCAAATGAAACATTTTACAGTCAGACCGATCAACCGGAGAATAAAAGGATACCCATCAAAAGTCACTTCTAGGATCTCTGTGAACATAAAGAAAAAAGTCTGGTCTTCTGATATAATATGATTCGAGCAGATTCATCAAAGGTAGTGTTGTCTAGTCAAAGCAGGAGTAAACATGTTTGATGAAGACCAAAAACAACTTCATGTAAGATGTTCAGAGTGAAGCTGGAGGTGTTCTGGATTCAGGTTGTTTCGCTTCTTTGGAGCACCTGGCAGCCTTAATTCAACTGGCAGTCTTGGATTGGATTAAAGGCTACTTAAAAAAAATGCGAGGTCACTGTTTGAAAATCAGATTAAAACTTTAGCGGTATCATGATCCTAAACACGTTAAGATGAAAGGTTAGAAAAAAAAGATGAAAGGTTAGAAATAGTCAAATCAAAGCAGATTTTGGGATTTCTAAAGGAGCAATAGATGCAAGAAAATTACTAAACACCCCACAGCTGAATGAAATGACATTGGTCAATGCAAAATACCTGAAAGAGAGTCATGCATACCAACTGGACAACTGTGTGTGTTGGTGCACCAGTGTGTAGGCGGGTGTAGACAGAGCAGCTGTCCTAGAAAAAGGTTAGCGGGATTTGAATCGATACATACAGTAAGGCCATTGTTTCCCCCAGTCAATACTAATTGATAATGACCCACAAAGTCAATACCCAGCTCTAGAAACAACCAGACTGTGGGTCAGGACTCCCACATTCCACTAGTAAATGTACTGTGTAAAAAGTGTTCACATTGTTTCACAGCTGTGTATTTATATATGTACATATATTTTTCTACCCTGATTGAGTAAACTTTATTTATACAGCACCTTTAAAGATAAATGTCACAATGTGCTTCGTTCCAGACCTGCATCAAAGACAAATAAATGTCAAGTAAATATAAAAACACAAATAAGCTAAAAAACAATCATGTAAGAACAATAAGACGAGTGTGATGTTAAAAACGGCACAGACTCTGTCCTCTTTGGTTCCCAGCCATGATCAGGGACAGACAGCAGCCGACACCAGAGTCCAGGTGATGATGTAAAGCCCAATTTATACTTCTGCATCTGCGTCAGAATGGAGACACGCAACTCTATTATCCGTCCTTGTGACTGACAAATTTGTCAGTGTTAAAAAGTCTCTTAAATAAAAGAAAACACAATATAAACACACTATCTTGGACCAGATACATGACAGGATACCCCAGAACAGCGTTACGCCCTCTGTTGTCCTGGCGGGGAATTGCTTTGCAACACTCTCCAGGAGACGGAGAAGTACAAGAGCAAATTGTCTCTGTCTGTGCGTGCGTTTCTCTACCTCGTGGAGATGATGGAGAAGTATAAATTAGGCTTAAGGGTAGAAAA